CAGGGGTGATTGCCCAGTGAGGCGGCTCGGCCGCCAGCGTAGATACATCTTATATCTGTTCTCGGGTTCAGATTCGATTGGGCAGGCCGCCCTCAGGCGGGTTTTCAATTACCACGGTTTTGATGTTCAGAACGGCCCCGATGAAGATTTAACGCGTCCAATCGTGATTGCTACAATTCGGAAAGCTATTGCCCGCGGAGAGGTTATCGCCGCTTCGCTCGGCCTTCCTCGTGCGTCTTGGGGCACGGCGGCGGACAGAGGCCGCCGGCCAGGTCGCTCAGCTTTGTTTCCGCGGGGTATCCCAGAAGCCACAGAGTACACTAAGAATAGGATCCCCGCTGGGAGCCCCATTTTCCGAGCCGCCCTGACCTCGGCGAGATGCCCCGGGCGGGCTGGCACCCCCTCGGTGCTAGAGCGCCCCATCAACAGTATATTTTGGCACGCAGCGCAGTTGCAGAGCTTGGCTAAACAACGTGACATGCACAGTAGGATTTGTGATCAGTGCCAGTTCGGGGTCCGTTTGAGGAAACGCACTAAGTTTTTTTTCGGCGCTGATCTCCAGGACACTGTGAAGTTGGGTAAGCGTTGCCGAAGTTTTGGCGGGGTTTGTTCGGCCTCAAGGGATCCACGCGTTGTACTCGAGGGCAGGGCCCCATCCGGGGCCAGGCGGACTTCCCTTGCCGCGTCCTACCCGACAGAATTAGCTGACTGCATGGTGAACTGTTTGCTGAGCCGCCACAGGGACCTTGAGGCGGCACTCCTCTTATAACCCGCCGCACCCTCCCAGCGAACCCTTTGGGATCTTGGGCATATGTTGTGTCTCGAGCTTCGCTTAGACGAGTGGCACGTGGTAGCAAACATTTCCCCCAGTGAATGTAGCAGTTAACCTGCCAGCGCGTGCACGGGAAGGTTGTGGGCGAAATGGCATGATGCGTCGTTGCAGAAACAAACCGTTTAAACTGGGAGACCCTTGGACTCCATAGCCTTCTTCGGTTCCCTCCCGCCCTTTTATCTCCCTCTCTCGCCTCTGTCGCCAGGGCTTCTGTTGTGTCTCGAGCTTCGCCTAGACGAGTGGCACGTGGTAGCAAAAATGTTCCCCACTGAATGTAACAGTTAATATGTATATATGTATACACATATATATATACACACGCACATATGTATATATACAAATACATATGTCTGGGTGCATATATATATATATATATAGAGAGAGAGAGAGAGAGAACAAATAAAAAAGAATGCTCGCGGCGCGGGGCTCCCGTGCATGATCGCTGCTGGAAAAGATCAGATTGATGGGGGCCGGACGGTCATTCACTGTCCTTGGGCGCGTGGCTGAAGTGAGGTTCCGCGGTGCGGGTTGCTGATGTTGATGTTAAGTTCCCACGTCGGTAGAAGTATTGTTGATCCCCTCCCCTCCAGAGCACGTGGTACTTTTCAATTGACGTGCCCCTTTTGGGGCTCGCGCTTGATTTTTCAACAAAGAAAATCGTGAGGCTCAAATTGGGCCCCTGGCACCTGAACAACAACAACGGCTCCTGCCTGATATTGTGAAGGCCTGACGGCCAGTGCCGCCGACCTTGAAACACATCGACGACGACCAGGAGGGGGAGGAAGAGGAGAAGGAGGAAGAGGAGGAGGAGGAGGAGGAGGAGGAGACGGAGATAAGGAGGAGGAGGAGGTGGAGGCGGAGGAGGAGGAAAAGGACTCCCCCCAGGGACCCCCCCTCTTGGGAGGAGGACCGGAAGAGGACCGGCGTGGGAGAGGGGAGGGGAGGGGGAGGAGGACCCCCAGGGACGGATGCGTATTTGACTCCCCCCCACCCGTGGGACTCCTCCCCAATTGGGGAGGATCGGCGCGCCCGACGTGGGAGAGGACGGCCCTCAGAGGAGATGCGAATCTTACCCCCCCCGGGGACTCACCCCCCCGCCGGGGAAGGGACAAAGGAAAAGGGCTTCCCTTTGACATAGTGAGGGCGTGGATGGAATTCCTTCAAGCTGCGAAACCGTTCCCCGAACGAGGAAGGGTGCTCTCTCTCTCTCTCTCTCTTTCTCCCCCGACGGAGAGGAGGATGGGAAAGAGGGGCCGAAAGAAGGGTTCCCGTCGGCGGGACCGGATAGACACCCCACACACGCACGCCGACACGGTCGGCGGATTTCCTCACGATATATTGCCCCCCCCCGCTCCCGCTGGAATTTTTTCCGCGGTTTACCCAACAGTCGCGCTCTCGCCGGAGAGTTCCCTGCAATTTTCAAAGGCGCCGCGCTATCGCCATTCAGGAATTGCGGATTCGCTGTTGGACTTCCTTATTGTTCACTTGGAAATCGCGCTCTCGCCCGAGATTTCCGGGCAATTTATGCAGGACTCACGCATTCGCGACCCGTCCGCTGGACCCGCCCGTCAGTGTCCGCCCGCCTGACCCGCCTGATAAGGCCCGCAGTCGCCCCTCGCTGCTTTTCGCCCGTTCCGATACCCCTCGCTGCCTCTCGCTATATTGCAGTCGGATTTGAAGGCCCCGCCGCTACCTTCGTGGCTTCCTCGATGCCTTTCGTGCCCCCGCTATTTGAGCCCTTCGATGCCGTTCGTGGCCCCGCGGTAGTCATTCGTAGCCTTACCCCCCCGCTGACCTCGGTGGCCCCGATGTAGCTCTTCATGGCCTTGTCGCTGCCCTTCCTGGCCCCCTTGCGATCCTCAGCGAATCCCTTTCCGTATGATTCCACGCCAATTGCGCGTGGCACGGAAGAAAGATATCCCCCCAAAGGGGGCACGATCGAAGACGAAGAGGGCAGGTATCCAGGGTTTGGGAAGTTCATGTTGATTGACCCGCACGCGTATGTTGGTGTTGGTGTTGGCATTGATGTTGGTGTTGTCGTTCGTGTTGTGCGTGTTGTTCGTGTTGGTGTTCGTGTCCGTGTTCCGGTTCGTGCTGTTTTTGTGTTTGAATTCCTGTTTCTAAAGAGCAAGTATTGTTGATCCACCCCGCCGGTGACCGTCATATTTGTTAAATTAATGTGTGTGTCCCGGGGTTCACACCATCTTTCTTTGCCAGCCAGGGAAAGCAAAGGGTGACCAAACTGGTCTCTTGGGCCCCGAACAACAGCAACAACAACGAATCCCGCGCTTCGGATCTTTTTGGGGGCAGACTTTTGTTTCTTTCGGCACCATCGGCGGGGCCCGTCCCCCTCCAAACCGACCGAATTTGACTCCCGGTGGAGACGCTTGAAGAAGGGCATACATCTCCCGCAGAGCCCCACGGGGTCCGCGAATTCTTTTTGAGGTTCCATGTTGATGAGGGGCTGGCTGTCCAGGGTCCATAGATCTTTGCATATGATGCGTCATGGAAGTGAGTGGTTTGGGCCTCTGGACGCCTTCTTTGGGGGCCTCCTGGGCCGTTTGGGGGCTGGCGCTCTCCTTAAAATATTTGTGCACTTGTCACAGCTTCCGAGGCGTCACGCGCAAGAAGAGAATTAGAAGGTAGAGGAGGAGGAGGAGGAGGAGGGGGAGGTGGAGAGGGACGGGGATCAGGATGGCGAGGAGGAGGAGGAGGAGGAGGAGGAGGAGGAGGCGAGAGGGAGAAGAAAGAGCAGCAGGAGGACGACGGAAGAGAAGGCGGACGAGACGTTTTCGGCCGAGTTGGAAAAGTGCGAGCAGGGTCGGGCGTGGTCCCATGCCCCCCCCCCCTCCCCCCGTGCTTCGGTTGTGGGCAGGGGGCCTTGTTTGGAGGAGTCCTGGTTTTTCTTCAAGAGGAAAAGGGAGACGAAAGAGAGAAGGAGACGACGCCTGTGCCGTTCAGCCGTCTTGGAAGCTTCCTCAGGGGCCTCTCGGGGCCCTGTATGGGCGTCTTGAGGCCTTTGGGGCTATCTCTTGGGGCTATCTTGGAGGAAGAGGTTCCCAAGGCCAGGTCGGCCTCTATTGGGCCCCTTTTAGGGTGCTTGGAGACCGTTTTAGGGGCTTCTCGGAACGTTCTGTATTACAGCGATGTGAGGTGTTCTTTTGGGCCGTCTTGTTCGTCCTGGCGATCGGAAAACAAGAACTTTGAAACCTTTCAAGCTTTCAAGCACGTAATGGGTATCTATGACTTTGGCCCCTCGAGTCGGGGGCCAGCTTGGTCGCCTCGGTCCCTCTTGAGACCATTTTGAGCAGTCTCGGGGCCATCTTGAGGCCATCCTTTGCCTTTTCTTGCCCCTATGAAAGTAATTCTGTCGCGCTTGGTAGCTTTTCCAGGCATGATGAGTCCGTGGGCATCGCTGTCCCGACCCCCCCCCTCCGCCTCAGCCGATCTGGACGTCTGGGGGAGCGGTTTGATGTGGAGCAGCCTGCTAACCGGCCGCGGCGGGCCGAGCCCTTGACGGCGCACCGTAGTGCGCCTGGGCAGACCGAGCGAGATTGACGATGTGGAAGCATTCTCGGCGATACTCGGGCGATGAGAAATTGCCGCGGTGGCTTGCGTAGGGGCGGCGAAGTTTTCGTGCCCGTTTACGACGCGACCGACGGCCGAAGGACGAGGAGGAAAGAGGGAGGAGGACAGGGAGAAGGACATGGAGAGTTTTGGCTTTGCCATACTGCTTGCGCCGGCCCTTGACGGCTCACGAAGGAGCAACCATCTCACAAGTTACGGACTCCAAGGCGTTGGCGAAGTGTGGCGTTAGTGCCGTCCTGATGGGATCCTGGATGCGATCCATGCGGGTTTTATAAAGAACGTCGAGCTGTTTGGTCAATTCGCACTTTCGAGGTGGGATCACGGAGGCGTGCTTTGCCGATCTGTTGAAACAGCACTCTTGTTCTTCATTTCCAGGCAATGGGGCCCATCTTGCTGGGAATGCTGCGTGAGAGGGTGGATGTCCGTTGCTGCAACACGGAGAGGTACACATCGTCCAGCACGCGAAGGGAAACCATAGGGGTGGCCGGATCTGGAAGAATGTCGGGCCCTGTCCATCTTCCGTCCTCCTCGCTGCCCTTCCCTCCATCCCGCGGCCCGGGAAGAATACGCACGCCGCCAGGAGGGCTTGGTGAAGCCGGGCGACCTGGACGAAGTCTCGATCTCGAACCTGGCGAATTGCGCGCCCGACCTCCAAGACATCGCTCGTCTTGCCCACCTCCGCGATTGCCCTTTTGCGTCTCCTTCCGTCGGGGCGGGGGCCGTCGCCGCCGCGACCCGGCCTGGGCAACGACGGTTGGGGCAGCGCTTGGGACGAGCCTGAGCGGTCCCTGGCGGCAGCGGTGGGTGTTCGGTGGATCTTGGGGGCAGGAGATAGGTGGACGCAGTCAAACCGCACAAGGGTCATGCTGCATCCTTGCCTCTCGGTCCACCCCAAGCCCTTAGCCATGGGCTATGGGTTTCTTACTTCGGCTTCAACTTGGTCGTTGAATGGCCTTGCATCCTCATCGCGCGTCCCTAACAGCCGGTCGCGCTGTAGGGTCATCAGTCTGGTCATTCCGTGGTTTTATGTTTTCGCGGGTCTCTTTACGCAGCCAGACGAGAGGGTGCACAACCGCTCGGTTGATTTTCCCGGCTTCGGGCGGCCCATTTTGTGTCGGAGTAGAACGGGTCGGAGGATCTCGTTGCATCGCTGATGCATCGGTGATTCGGCACGATCCGAAGCCCGATCTTCTTCATCTTGGCCGGCATCGCAGATACATCGCCGACGCGACGCGACTATCCGACCATATCAGTTTTGTCCCACATTTGGCCTATCTCCGTTGCCACAGCTCCAGCATTCTGGCTGCCCTTGAAAAGCAGGGGTCGCCCAGTCATCGTCGAGAGGGGCCCAATAGCCCAGGGTTCATCGCCGATCTATCGGCGATGATGTTTCCCCACCTTGCGCCAATCCTCACTTAATTCTAGACGCTTCGCGTATCCCCACCAGTCCGTAGCCTGGCTCAAACCGTCTCGGCTCGAGCCCGCCTTCGCCAGGTGCGCGCCGTGCCGGGCCGCGTCATGTCCGCCGCTGCCGCCGCCAGCGCCGTCACCGGTTCTGCCCTGCGGCGGCGGCAGCGGGTTGCCGCTGCCGCCCGCGTCGCCCTGCGGTCTCGACAACGACGTCGCCGACCCGCTGCAGCACCACAGCTGCCGCAGCCGCTGCTGCGGCTGCAGCAGCGGCAGCTTGCCTCCACTCGTCTCGTCGACAGAAGACAACATCCCAGAGGGGAATCGAGGTGTGGCTGGGGCAGAGGCTACGATACCACCCCCCGCATCGTGGTCAGGCGATGGCGTCCCAGTGGGGATCGAGAGGAGGTAGCCTGCTGTGTCCTGTGTACAGCTCACACGTACGCTCCCCCCTTCAGCTGTACCAGCAGGCCAGAGGTAAAGAGCGGGAAGTCACTGCGGAGACGGCGGAGGCCGCGGATGCCACGGAGCGCCCCACTCTGGTCAAACTGTCCGTCTGTTGTCTTCTTGCTCCAGCAAGACAGTGAGTGGTACGGGGGGGTGTCTCGGCGGAGACGGCGGGGGCTCGGGATGTCGACCTTGTCGGCAACGACAGACGTCCACTTTCCGACCAGTCACACTAACGACTCCCCCCTCCATCTGTGACAACAGGCGAGAGGAATGGAGCGGGGTGTCGGCGGAAGCGACGGGGGCTGCGGAAACCGCTGAGCCTCCCCTCTGGGCCCTCCGTCCGTCTGCCGTCCTCTGGCTGCGTCCCTCTCTCAGCAGGGAGACCACGGGACAGCCTCCCAGACACAGGGCAACGCAGCCTTTCGCCGGCCCCTACTCTGGCCCATACGGGAGCACAGCCACTGATGACGCTGCAGTCCTGCACATGCGGTACTTCTTTGGCCGGCTCCTCCTTCCCACGGCGGGCCCGGTCCACTGCTGTGAAGGGTGTCTCCCCAGCTCCTGTGACGGAGTCCCGACGTCAGACGGCCTTGCCCTGGCGGCGCTTCCCCCCCACCAGGCGGCGCCGCGCGCCGACGACATACCGACTTTGATTGTTGGGTCCTCGACAGGCGGTGTCACTGCCTGGCCCCCCCCCCTTTGTATTCAAATGTCCTGCGGCTATCGGCTGCGCCTCCCCCTCTTCCCTCCCGACGCCCTCGACGATTGCGGTGGCGGACCGACTACGTGCGACCTGGGGGCGAGGTGTACCTCTCACAGCTTTGCGTATTGATCCCACCGTGGTGCGTGGGTCTGCCTGGGCGGCACTTCATCCGCGGTGCGCAGGTGGCCCACCTGCCCGCAGTTCCCCCCTGACGTGCCTCGGACGCTGGTGTTTATGAAAGGGTTCCACGCGACGTTTCCCCCTTCCCCGTGGGTGACAGTTGCCACGTGGGATTCGCGCCATGCCCACCGTCGCCTGAGTCTGTGGAGTTCTGCCTTCGAGCACGCGGTGCTCCGTGAGTGAGGCCCCCCCCCTTTTTTCTCTTTCCGTCTTCTATCGCCCCTCCCCGCGCCGCCCGCCCCTCCGTCTCTGCCCGTTTTCCCAAATTTGTCCGCGCGTTGCCCGAATTATCTGGCCGTGCCCCAGTTAGCCTGATTGACGCGCCCTCTGGAATCTTCCTTGCGGGCCGCAGATCAAAAAAGTACCCCCACCAGTCCGTAGCCCGGCTCAAGCCTTCTCGGCTCGAGCCCGCTTTCGCCGGGCGCGCGCCGTGCCGGGCCGCGTCATGTCCGCCGCTGCCGCCGCCAGCGCCGTCACCGGCGCTGCCCTGCGGCGGCGGCAGCGGGTTGCCGCTGCCGCCCGCGGGCCGCCCGGGCTGGCCGCCGCCGCCTCCGCTGCAACCGCGGCGGCGGCTGGCGGCGGTGGCCCGCCCGCCGATGTGCTCGCCGCGGCGGCCGGCCGCGGCCAGGCCGCCGCGGCCGCCGGCGCCGTGGCGCGCGCTGCTGCGCTGGGGCCTGCCGCGGGCGGCCGCGGCCACCGCGCCGCGGCGGCCGCCGCTGTGGCCGCCGCGGCCGCGGGCGCCGCCGCGCCCGCCGTGGCGCCCGCCGCGGCCGCCACTGCCGCGGCCGCCGCCGCGGCCGCCTCTGGCGGGCCGCTGGCGGCGACACTTGGGGCGGCGGCTGGCTGGCGGCGGCCGCCGGTACCGCCGCGCCTGCGGATGCGCCCTCCGCGGCCGCCGCCGCCGCCGCCGCCGCGGCCGCCCCTGACGGTGGCGATGCTGGCTCTCCGCCGCGCGCCTTCGAGGGCGCGTTGGGCGCGCCGGCGCCCGTCGGCTATTGGAGCCCGCTCGGCCCTGCACAGGGCCCCGCGGGCCCCCCGAGCAAACGCAACGGTGCCGAGGCGGAGTACAAAGGGGGCGACATCGCGGACCCTGAGAAGGCGAAGCGGCCCCTGAACGCGGAGCTGGCCAACGATCGCCTGGCCATGATGGCCATCATCGGGACGTTCCTCCAGGGCGACCTCGCGGGCCCCGCCCGGGGCGACTGGGCGACCTACGCGGATTCGCCGCTGCGCGCCTTCGAGAGCGAGTGGGACCTGCAGGCGCCCGTCGGCTACTGGGGCCCGCCCGGCCTTTCGGAGGGCGTCGTCGCGGGCGCCCCCCACAGGAGGAGGGGCGCCGAGGTCAAGCGCGGCCGCGTCGCCATGTGGGCCGCCATAGAGTAGATAGTGCAGGATTTCTTCCTGTGGCTGGGAGGTGTCGTCCTCGAGGGGCCTGCCCTTGCGAGTCTTCCGAAAGGCCTGAGCGCTCCGGGCAAGGTGTCTGGCGCCGACTGGGGGCAAATGTTCCTATTCTACGGCTCCCTCGAGCTTCGCGCGGCCGGGCAGGGCCCAGCGGATCCTCCGGGCAAGCTCAGCAGAACCGAGGCGGGCTTCGGAAAGCCGCACTTCGGGGCCCTCGGCGGGTTCAAGGGGGGCGGCGTCGAGGACCCTGAGAAGGGCAAGCGGCCCCTGAGCGCGGAGCTGGCCGAGGGCCGCCTGACCAGGGCGGCCGTCATCGGGATGTTCTTCCAGGACAACCACACGGGCTCCGCCTGGGGCGACGGGGCGGCCTGCACGGACTCGCCGCTGCGCGCCTTCGAGGGCGAGCTGCGCGCGCAGGTGCCCGTCGGCTACTGGGGCCCGCTCGGCCTCGCTGAGGTCCACGTTCGCAACCGCGCCGACGACGGCCGCGACCACGGCGGCTACGAAGACGACCGCGACCACGACCCAGATGACTCGACCTTCCCCCATGCGAGCACGCATCGCCGATCCCTCCCTCTCCTCCTTCAATTTGCTTGATCTTTCGGCTATCGGCTGCGCCCCCCCCCCTCCCCCTCCTCCTCCTACTGCGCAGGGCACTCTCACGCCGCCCCCTGCGGCTGGAAACGAGGCCCTGGGACGTGCCCGCGGGGCGGTTGCGGCAGGATTACCAGACGAAGATCGAGCTGTATCCAGAGAGGGAGGCAACGCAATCCCCCCGCCTGCGGTGACAGAAGACCCCCCACAGGCCCAGGCGGGAGGAGCAACCACAGAGGACTCGACCCGCCCCATGCGAACGCACATCGCCGACCCCCCCATCCCCTCCTTCAATTTACTTGATCTTGCGGCTATCGGCTGCGCCTCCTCCTCCTCTCCTCCTCCTCCTCCTACTGCGCAGGGCACTCTCGCAGCAGGGCACGGGCGCAACCCCCATCCTGGCACGGGCCCCCCCAATAGTGAGCAGATCCCCAGGCGCCGTGCCAGAGGACCCTGCCACGTACAACGACACATCGGAGTATAGCGGCAGCAGCAGCGGCAGCGCGCCACTCCCCGTTTCGTCGACAGACGAAGACGCCCCAGAGGGGAATCGCGAGGCGGTTGGGGCTGAGGACACGATACCACCCCCCGCATCGTGGACAGACGACGATGTCCCAGTGGGGAATCGAGAGGAGGTAGCCTACAGTGACCAGTGCATAGCTCACACCAACGACCCCCCCCCCCCCCTCCAGCAGGGCCAACTGGCCAGAGGAAAAGAGTGGGGGGCCACGGCGGAGGCCGCGGAAGCCGCGGAACACCCCCCTCTGGACAATCAGTCCGTCAGCAGTCTTCTGGGAGAGCCACGCACTCAGCAGGGGGGGCACGGAGCAGCCGCCCAGACGCAGGACTACGAAGCCATACGCCGGCTTGCCGAGAGAAAACCTCTTCGCGCCTATTCGCCCTCCGCCCCCTGTCAGTGA